AAATGCTATTTAATTGTTTTTAATAGTATTTAATACTATTCAACAGCTTTTAACAGTATTTAAAATGCCATGTAATACTTTTTAATAGTATTTAAAGTACTATATAGAATACTAAAATTGTCTTTAAAATAATTGAATCTGATGCAATAATTTGTTGGCAACGGGAGTAAACATTTTAGTAGATGACAGATCTTTCTGCGAAATAAAATACTATTTAATAATATTTAAAAATACTATTTTAAAATACTATGCTATAGTATATTAAATATCATTCGAAATATTTTTTCCCGTGGTTTTATTAACCGTCGGAAGTAACTTTCACACGTTGTTCGAATTAACAACAATTTGTTGAAACATTTAGTTGACTCGCGAGTGGAAGGTAACAACGAAACAGATGTAAATTCAAGGAAACAGTAACAGTAACGCGAGTACCCATGATAGTTTTATAGATTCTTCGCGACGTCGTTGATGCATCCATTGTTCCTTCTCGATTTCCACTGAATGCATATGGGGATTCGAAAGTAGTTCTGTCTGTTCTTACGACAGCGTCGTTGCCCTTCTATGCGTCGCCGGCAGATGCTTTCTGCACCAGAGACTGTAAGTGAAAATGTGATCTCTGGTGTTATGCGAAAAGCTACTGTCAGGCGAAAGGATACTGTTCGGACGGCGTTACAACAAACAGAAACATAAAATGAAATATTAACATTCGATTCTTTATTCTACCATGGCTGGAAGCATCGGTTTCGCTGCTTATCTCCGTTGCTGAAATATTAGGTCTACCGGAAAGTTCTGTCCGTTTTTGAATTGAAATATAACACAATTTTCATAAATTTGATAATATTTATTGTAGAATATACTTTCCATCTTTTAAATGCCATTTTTAAAAAATGATTTATTTTTAGAGGCGAAGAACTCAACTAGTGCTTGGTTGACATCAGCTTCAGTTTTGAATTTTTTTTCCTGTAAAAAGTTTTGCAAAGAGAGAAACAAGTGATGATCGGAGGGTGCTAGGTCTGGGAAGTATGGTGGATGTGACAGAATTTCCCAGCCTAGCTCTGCGATTTTCTGACGAGTCGTCAAAGCAGCATGTGGTCTGGCATTATCATCGGTAGCCATGTTTTCACGATCGCGTCTCACTTAATAATGACATGAGACATCTTTGTTTCCGTTTATTTAGGAGAGTATACGTGTGTAAATGCAATGATAAAGAGAGATAGTCATATATGTCTCAAATCAACATGTGCATATGGATTGAAACTTGAAGTGACACTATCGGACAGAATTTTCCGGTAGACCTAATAGTTTATTAACGCCAAACACACCGATTATTAAAAATGAATGAACTGTGTTACTGTATGAGAAAAGCAAGCCCGAATTTATTTAGACTTTTTACACTTTCTATTGTATTGTCTGCTCGAACAAAGAAATTCATTCAATCATTTCCTATCAAAGAGTTTCTACAGTTTCATCTATTTAATAATAAAAAATGTGGTACCGGTCATGTTTTGATCAGCAAGTTATGTTCAGGTTTAATAATAAACATTAGCTTTAGTACAGTTTAGTATCTTAATTAGGATTAATATTTTTACCGAGCTACCATTAAAAAAATTGCTGTATCATATCTCAGGAGAATTTTTATATTTTATATTATTAATTTTAACCCTCTCAGTACCAACCAAAAAACTAGCGAATGTCTATGCGAAGAATATCTGGTTCACGTGGTTTGGTCAAGTTTCAGAAAGAAATTATAAAAATGTTGTATACGAAACTAATGATTACAATCCTACCATAATTTTGTATGAACTCTGAGATTATAAATTAATTTGTGATAAATTAAGAAATGTAGCTGTCATTTATTATAAGTATTACGAAAACGACATTTTCTCAAGTACAGCCAACAACGATAAATCGTCGTTCAGCACTAAAAGGGTTAAGGGACTATTAGAAAACTGCCGGTGCACGAAGTGTCGGGGCTTTAGAAATTCTCGGGACGATCAATCGCCGGGCGTACAACAACGCGTTAATCGTCGATGAATTTGGCTCGTAACGATGATTGCGCTTTCGACGAGCGGAGTATCGAGGATTCAAAGGCGAATCCTCGCCGCGAGAGCGACTCGTTATTACCCTTGTTCCAGAGAATAATTCCGCTTACGCGACGTCTGCACCTCTCCTCGCAGATCAGATGCACCTGTGCACCCCTCGTGTCTTTTATTTCGCGAAATTCACCGTGCGTTCCCGTTCGATCGCTCGTCCCTTCGCGTCAGAAATTCCTCTGTCTCCCGTTCAACGAGACAATGGCGTCGCGAGTTCAAAGTTCAACTTCAGTAAAAATTTCGTCGACGCAAAATAGCTGGCCAGGAGACCAAGCTACTTCTCGAAATTATTGTAATTTGTCGTATTGCATTGTGTCAGAAATATTAGGCGTAGAATAAATCTTAGAATATAGGAAACTTCTAATCAAAATTGTTTCCTGTATTTTAGGTTTTATTCTACGCCTAATATTTCCAACACAATGTAATAGGACAAATTATTGAAAAATGACCTTTAACTCCTTTGATCAAAATAGTGTTAATCAGAAACGATCGAAAGATGTTCTCGGACTCTTACGGTGGAAATACAGGGTGTCCCAAAAATGTCTCGCAATCCGGAAATGGCGGGTTCCTTAGATCATTTGAAGCAACTTTTTCCTTTACAAAAATTTTCTCCGAGGCACCGTTAACGAGTTATTAACGAGAAACAGTGACCAATAAGACGGCAGTTCCGCTCAATGGCTAGGTTGCCTCGCGCCAGCTGAGCTCGCCTCTCATTGGTCACTGTTTTTCGTTAATAACTCGTTAACGGTGCCTCGGAGAAAATTTTTGTAAAGGAAAAAGTTGCTTCGAATGACCTGAGGAACCCGTCACTTTCGGATTGCGAGATATTTTTGGGACACACTGTAGTGTCACAGGAATGGAGCTGAAAGTGACTACAATTATCGCAAGGATTAGACACGCGACTGGATTAACTTTAATCTAAACATGATGCAGAGAATTCTGGCATTCAAAATTTCTGGCCATGTCGAAGACAATGGGCATTTCGTCGTTGAAATGGTCACGATTGCGATCGAGATATCGCGGAATATTTCACAGGCGTGAAACAATTCTTCCATCTGGCCTCCTGGAATATAATATCGCCTGCCGTCACCAAATAGCTTGTATTCGAGTCGCAAGTAGCTGACGCCTTCCGCGCGTTGCATTCTCACGATTATTTTTCCCGTTTCGTTGTACCATTACGCTTTGGCCCGACCCCGTTTTTCATTCCCCTCATCCATATGCAATTTCATATTTCGCTGGCTGTAATTTGGTAAATATTCCAGGAGCTTGGCTCGGTTGCGGTCGCTAACGATATTCATCTAGCAGTTTTAGTTTTCTCGTTCGTTTTCTAAATTCTTCCTCTAAATGCAATCGAGATGAGTTCTGACAGTATCGTGTCAGGAGAAATCGATCAAGTCGATCGCAAACGTTGTCCATTCTAACTGTTTTTCGTTACATCGAACGATAGGCGGAAATGTAGCGAATGAAAATTTTCGTTATAGGATAGATGCCTCGATTTCTGTGTCTTTAAGCCAAATTTTTGCTTCTCCGAAGCTATCGTTAGATACTCTAATTTTTATTTAATGCACTAAAAATATACTGCTGAGAAAAATTATAGCACAGACAAATTTTGGGTAAAAATTGGTCAACTTTGACTGACGATAACTCTGAGAAAAATCATCGCAGGATGCTGATTTTTCCTTTGGATTAAAGCTTGAAACCTCTATTTTAAGATAGCCTTTCTGGAATTTAAGTTTGATGCATCTTCGGCACTGTGTAACCCTTTAAATGTTAATGTGAGGCCATGTTGGTAATTGTCAAGTTTGAATGCACGGAGTTTGTAGAATTTTTTTCTGAAATGCCATTTGCAGCCGAATAAAGTTTGATCCTCTAATGTAAATTTTTAATTAACTTTAATCTAAATTTAATCCCCTCTAATCTAAAAAGGAGAAGTAACCCGAATTACTCCTTCGAAATGAGGCATGACTTATTTGTCTGAGAACCCTGGTCGCAATATCTACAAAATGTTCCGTTGCAAAATTTCGTGTTTCTTTTCTATTTGTTCAAAATCAGCAATCAATGGACGTACTACTGCTCTTTGCGACGACACCGTAAGAACAGCCAATCGGAACATCAAGTTTTCTTCATGTTGTGGTATGCGAACAGCCAGAAACGTTTGTTAACGCGCTGCTCTTCTATTTACAGAAGCTCACCGAGCTCTGGAGCTCCTGGAAGATTACCATGCCAAGCTTACGAGGCCCCAGGATAAACAATTGCGATTGGCCATCGAGCGTGTCATCCGGATCTTCAAAAGCAGGCTCTTCCAGGCGCTATTAGGTGAGTGGAAGCATTTCTAACGAATCAACGATCGCGTGACTATTTTTCAAAGAACGTTCGAAACAGCGATTAACCTTCTGTTATACTTCGACGAGCCTGACTCGTGATGGAGATTTCTAGTAATAGTATGTCAGGTATGAATGTTATTACGTTCTTTCGAGTTGAGATCAAATTTGGTCTCTTCTTGTTAATATTTAAGCATTCATTAAAATGTAGATGCACAATAAATATCGAGTTCATTTTTCTTCCACGAAATTATTACTGGCGTGTGTTGCTTCGTACTTTTTAAAATGCAAGAAAATACATAAAGTAACAAAGAACTAATAGCATTTTTATTTTCTTCTTGCAATGCGTAATCTCTCAGTTGAAAGGGGAATTCTTTTTTCATTCTGATTTTTACAAAACAACGTATGAAACTGGAAATTTGCATAAAGATCCGCGGTCTAGTAATGAGACTAAATTTATTTAGATTTTTGAACGATTTTTATTGTGAAAGTTAGGCTAGTTAAGCTGCAGGAGCTGCGCAGACTGTATGACTTTGTATAACAGATTTAATGATTTGGTAAAAATAGAACAGTGTTTTTAAAGATAAATGTTTTTCCTGTTTGATCGTAATCATTACTTTTGTCATAAATGCGTGAAATTCGTAGTCTAATCATAACAGATGCTCGAATTAAAGCAACACAATCGTTTCGTATGAAACAATCTTGGTTTCTTGACCGACTTTGAAACGAAATATGTAAAATCGGTCATTTTGAAATATATAGTATGAAATATATAATAATTTGGTTGAACATGGATTTTGGAAAGAAATAGTTTACATGAATGTATATAAACATTTCCGTAAAAAAGTGGACATAAAATAAATACAAATTCTCTTTTTTTCCGAAGAAGTTATTACAATCGAGAAAGTTCTAATCGTTGTAACCCTGAAGAAAATAGTACTGCAAAGGGTCGAGGGTACAGGTGTAGTCCTACGTTAACCTCTTGTAAGATTTATTACACAGCTGCACTAATTACCACAGCTTCCGTAATTATTTCCCTGATAGAACGCGTCTTTGATAACCGAAAAATCGATTCTAGATTTTGATATCAGAAGAATCAACCCTAGATTTTGATAACAGAAGAATCAACTCCAGATTTTGATAACAGAAGAATCAATCCTAGATTTTAATAACAAAAGCATCAAATTATTTCAAATTAGAAACGAATAACATTCGTATCTAGTAGATTATGTATGAAATCTTCAACACGAGCCGGGCTCGTTGTTATAGTGGAATGTGTTAGAAAAAAAACGACGGGTCAACCGGTCTTTCTGCGTCAACGGATGCAGCTCTGTAATTCGAATTCAAATCGTACGTATCGATAGAATTCTCGTCCCATATCGGGGGATCGGTGGCTCGGCGATGCCGAACGCTCGAAAATCCGAAAAATTCCTGCGATTCGCGAGAGAGATTCAAAGAGACGACGCCTCATCCCATTCTCTGTGCTTCACCTCAATCTCATCTTATTTATCGGAACTGGCACGTTGCCTCTTGAACGTTTCTACCACCATTGTTATTCGGAATAAAGCGCTCTTACCGCACGATTCATTCTGTTCGAATCCCTTCAGACCGGAGCTTGGCTCGCCTGAAAGTTTGACGGAAGCTTTACGAAATCTACGGAAAAAGATATATATATATATATATATATATGTATATATATATATATATGTATTTATCATATATATAAATAATATATATGTATGTAATACATACAAGTCGTTGTTTCTGCTTGAATCTGGAACGCGGTTCTCCCGGATACAACAAGTGTTCCTGCGATTTCTCGTAGGGAAGCAGAACGTAACAATTCTTTAAGTATTCTACGCTTCCGCATTTCCATCGATTCGCGAATTCGCCGAACAACTCGCCGAGATACCGGGAGAAAATGTATGTATTCCGATATTTCATGAAAGTCGTTGCAGTAGCTGCTTTCACTTTTACGTTGGGTAAGTGTACGTTTACTGCTGTATTTTACCTCATGAAAATTAAGTAATACCGCAGTAAAGCGTACACCCGCAGTAATTGGTACATTTACCATACTGTGTAAAGCCTGCACGTAATCATAAATTCTGAACACCTCGTGGAATTATTCAGTGATGGAGTGTTGCGCCTTTGCTCCGTTTCTAGGCGTAATTAACTTTATATTTATCGAGTAAGACATATTAAATCTTTTTGTTCTTTTATTTTGTTTATTTTTGAATAAAAGATATATCTGTCGTAACAGAAAATATTGTCATGTCTTCATGACAATATATATATACCTTGAAATTGTTTATTAAATTACATATTTTGTAAAAGTTTCGTATTCAATTAAAATACGAACAAAATTGGACGTACACAGTATAATTATAATAACTTACTTATAATATATAATAACTATAATAATTATAATAACTTACTACTACTAATAATAATTATACTAACTAACTTAATAATAATTATTATTATTATAATAACTTACTTACTTACTTATAATAACTTTTGCAAGAAACTGTAACAGCTGACTGTAACAATTGACATTGGAAAGCTAAGTTTTATCACATTAATTGCCTTTCCAACATTTTTACGTTTCGTGGGCCCTAGTAAACTCGGGAAGATATTAATAAATTGGTGTAAAAATGAACTGCCAAATCCGAGCAAATAATTCCGTCACTCGCGGCCCTCGAAGCGTTAAATATCGACAGTTTATCGAAAATCGAAACTCCGGCGTCGACATAGTTTTCGGTGGTACCGTATATTCGGCGACAATAGTTATTATCGTAATGGTCTTCGGTCTGTTTTCCGCGATGCTTGGGGCGCGCCGTTACGGAATTTCGTGCGCTGCATTTGTGTAATCCATACGTTGCAGCTGCGGGTACACGTGGCTGGCGCGTCGCGAGAGGACGGCGCAACGTTTTTAAAACTTTGCGGCGTCCTTTCATTTCCGGCACGGATGCGGAAACCCGTGCGAGTTACTTCGCAGAACCAGATTGTTCTATTCGGTCTGCTCGGTATAATGCTCTTTGGTATAGAGGAGATTAGTCCGTTGCATCTGCAACTGTGTCGGTCGCACCGCTTTGCCTGTTACTGCTGATAACCCTGGACACCCTTGCCTACATCGGTGACGCGGACAATGGCCCCAAGATTACACACGTCATATCAGCGCTAAGTACTTAACGAGATTAGAGTAGCCGCGAAACAGCCGAAATTAACACCTTTCTAGTCGAGACGGTCTTAAACACTTATTTACGATTTAAATCTACGCTGATAAGGCGTTCCTCCAGTCACCTGAAATACATAATATTTTCGATAGCATTGTACGAATATGGTATTTTGCAGTGCTGATTGAGAGAGAGAGAGAGAGAGAGAGAGAGAGAGATCCTTTGTACTCCGTGGTACCGCTAACAATTCTTATATCGCGTTCCAGAATTATTTTTACGTTATCAAATTTGTTCATATTTAACACTTTATCTGCCGGTAGTTTTCTAACAGGTCTTTTAAAATCGAAGACCAAGATGTTGCTAGATCTTGAAGAGCTTCTTCAGAATGTCTTAAAAAATTGTTCGCAAACTATATTCAATCTCATTTATAATCCATCAAATTATTTATATTAATATAAGAGAAATATTTCGAATAGATTCTCCGAATAAAATCTTATTCGTACAATAATTCGAATAAATTCTCCGAATAAAATTTTATTCGTACAATAATTCGAATAAATTCTCCGAACAAAATCTTATTCGTGCAATAATTCGAATAAATTCTCCCAATGTAATTTTATTCGAGAAATATTTCGGATAAACTCTCTCTCTCTCTCTCTCTCTCTCTCTCTCTCTCTGTTCGAATAAACTTTTATTCTTTGAATATTTTCGAATTATTCTTTCGGATAAACTCATCGAGTAAGCTTTTATCCGTTGAATATCTCGAATAAATTCCTCGAATAAAATTTTGTCCGAGAACAATTTCGAATATTCTTCTTCGAATCAAATTCGATTCGTAGATTATTTCGAACGTGTTCTTGGAACAACGTCCCGATGAAATTCTTGGAAGAAAATTTCGAATGAAATTTAAATTCGCGAACACCGCGAACGAGAAAAACGCTAGTTCCACGGCAGACAGCACGCGGAAATTCGGGCTTGGTTTCTTCGTCCGTGAAATAATTAAGAGGTACCGCAGGAGCGGTTTGTTCTCGCGGCGTTATGAGGTCCGTTTCATAATTAATGATTCGAGGGAGATTGCTTCACCGTATCGTTGTCTGTGCGCCATAGTTTCCTGGTCAATGCCCACAAGATTACGCGTCACGCCGGCGAGGCTAAGTACGTAACAAGGTTACAATTTAGAACTAAGCACGTAACCGTGGTGTGTGTGTGTGTGTGTTGGGAAACTTGAAGGCGGTAGTTTAGACGAGCACGGCGAAATAAAGCCGTTCATTGAAATTGAAGCCCCAGTTCGCTGACGTTTGACGTTCGACGTTCATTACCAACAATTGTGTCGCACTTTGCGTCATCGTTCTTCGACTATACGTCACATTGTATCCTCGCAATGGATGTCTTGTTCTATTCTGACCAAACGATCGAGACATTTCCGTTGTCTAGCCCGAATGGATGTGCCATTTTTTTGATCCAACGTTAACTCTTCGGGGCACAGGATTTCAAAGAACAAGATACATCCATGTTGCGCTGGAATTTTATCGCGTTTTAAATTAAACGAAATTGGTATAGTTTTGTTAACAAAGGAATCGCATGATATAAACACATAAAAAAATAATGATAATTCAATTTAATTTTGTTGTTACAGGGTGGGACTCAAATAGTCCCACCATGCCACATGGTTTCATGAATGTGTATGCAGCTATTGCAATATTTCGAGGTAAAAAAGATGGGATCTTTTTAATTCTACCCTGCCCGAAAGAGTTAACTGTCGTTTCTCATTTGCTTGACACCACTCATTGTCTTGTTCTAGCGATATCATTTCTTTTAG